TAAAGTGAGAGACATATGGCTATTTTTTTTACTTGGACAATTAGATGTCATTGTAGAGTTATTAACTGACCTAATTTTATATTGTTTTGTCTCAGGGAGTAGGAACTTCCAAGGAACGGGAGAGTGAGGGGTAATGGCTGGTCAGTGGAGCAGTCAGAACACACACAACATTTATACATTAAGGTCACTGTCTCATGTGGGTGTGGTTCATGGCACCCAGAACACTGACACTAGTAATATCAAAGATCACTGATCACAGATCAACAACATAATAATAATGAAAAGATTTGAAATATTGTGAGAATTACCAAAATGTGACACAGAGACACAAAGTGAACACATGCTATTGGAAAAAATGGTGCCAATGGGCTTGTTTGATGCAGGGTTGCCACAAACCTTCAATTTGTACAAAACCTAATATCTATACAAAGCACAGTAAATGGAATTATACAATATACACTTTTTTGAACCTGCTTGATTTGCTCAATAGGTTACCAGTAAAATGCATCCATGCTGCTGTGTGTTTCAGTAGTTTGTTTTTTTCTATTGCTGGTTGCATTCTCTTGTATGAATATATACTAAAAAATGTTTATCTGTTCTAATACTGTTGGACACTCAAAATGCTTATGTTTCCATTTTGGGACTGTTATGAATACAGCTACTGTTTCTTGTAGAAATATTTTTGTGACACGGGTTTAGAATTATCTTTGCAAATATCAGAGTAAAATTCCTGGGTCACAAGGTAATGTATGTTTAACTTTATAAGAAACAGCTAAAGTTTTTTCCTGCTTCCTATTCTTAAAGATAAGTTATCAAAATGAGTTAGGGATTTGAAAGTAAAGTTCATTACATAAAGGTGATTTATAGTACACAAACAACATAGGCTGAAAAATCCTGACTACTCCAAGAATGACCAATAGCAGTGACCAACGGAGGAAATCTGAGCCTCACAGGAAGAGCATAGCATGGCAGTAGCATAGAGGAGGCCATGGACCCTTTGCAAATACTTACTTTAAAAAGTTTTAAAATCCTAAATGGAAAACAGAGGACCAGTAGATATTCGCCTTGAGCCTATTCCAGCACTATGGGAAAAAAAGAAAAAGCAGCCTTCTCACTTGTCTTGCAATGTGACTGAGCACAGAGGAAATGCCGCACAGAGCTGTTTGAAAGTACCATGCCGGGGTAAGCAAGGTGTGCTGTACCAGCTCAAGAGCGTGGAGACTGCGTGTTAAAGAACTAGAGGAAGAAACTGCAGGAGGAAATACTTAAGGGGAGGTAGAAGAGCAACAAGTGGGACAGGAGGATAAATAATCACAGCTGATCGTCAGGATCGACCTGGACAAGGAATTCATGGTGAAGGGGAAAGGGAGCAGGCAGGGATTCTATAAATAAGCGAGGCAGTCTTTTGAAACACAGTCATCAACGCTTAGATATTAAGGGAAAGTATTCATTACCATCGTGTGTGTGAGTAGATAGATTGATAGAATTTACAGAGAATGTTAAAGGAAATAAGATAAAATATAAATTATTGGTGAATCTTGGTTTCTTAGTTCAGCAGCTGCAACAAAGTCCCATAGACTGAGTTGCTTATAAACATCAGAAATTTAATATTTCTCACAGTTCCGGAGTCTGTGAAGTCCAAGATTAAGGTGCTGGCGGATTTGATGTTCGAGGCCCGCTTTCTGGTTTGCAGGCACCCTTGCTATGTCCTCACGCAGTGGAACAGGCAAGGGAGATCTCTGGAGTCTCTTTTGTGAAGGCACTAATCCCATTCATGAGGTCCTGTTCTCATGACCCAGTCACCCCCCAAAGGCCCTACCTTCTAATGTCCCCATCACATTGGGGGTTTGGATTTCAGCATAGGAACTTTGGAGGGACACAAAATTTTGGGGGCGTATACAGATATTTCTTGTACTATCCTTTTGGTTTTCTATAAGATATAATTTATGTCAAAATAAAACATTATAAAAAAGATTAAAAAGAAACAAAAAAATCTAAAGAATGATAAGAGGAAGATACTCAAATATTGAGGCTTACACTAGGAACTGAGAGCTCACTTTTATGCTGTTAAATATTTATCGAGTTTAACATTCATCTCATTATGTTTTCTAGTGTATTGTTGCCCTTGAGGATATGTTGGTGCTACCCCATAGGATCGTGGACTTTCAAAACTAATCCTGATCACAAGCGTCCATTTGATTCTTGAATTGCCACTAAACTCTTCTGGTTAAGTGGTCTTCCAATCTGTGTGTAAATACCTAATTCACTTTAACAAGTCTGGGAACATTTATTCTCCTGGCTAGATTAACCTCTTACTTTCTTTCTGAACCAAAGGTTAATACTGCTTCATTCATTATCATTGTATCTATAAAATATTATTTCCCCCTGAGCAAGAGGGCGGCTTTTTCTTGGTAACCAAACTGTATTCTAAATACCCTGCCCGAGGCACTATAGCAAACCCACACGGGTATTCAGGAGATACTAAAATTCCGTGGGAAACACAATGACATCTATTGGACAGACCTTGACATAACTCACAGTTTCAATGTTAGCTTAATGCAGTTCATGTTTAATGTTAGATCGCTGCAGTTCTTTCACCGAGGTCGTATCTTTGTGAAGTTATGTTTTTAGTGGTTGCTCAAATAAAGCAAGTACTGCATGAAATCAGCAAGAAATAAAAAATGAGTAATGTGGTGTCCAATTTGATTTCAAGTTTTGGGAAATTGTGTAGTGCCCAACTTGCTCTACCTTGGAATTCTAACGCATCTTGAATTATGAATGCCTCAGTGATACTCAGTATAAACTTCTTAAAGGTTCTTATAAGAAAGGCAGTGGAAGGACTTTGTGAAGTTAAAAAATGCTGTAAAAATACATCTGTGTTAGCATGCTATTGTAATTTTCTATCAGTCAAGCCATAGAATTCAAAGAGTTTATTCATTGAAATTGAATTGATTCCTTAGTAAGCTTTCTTTATCATGTGTTTCCAGAAGAGCATCTCAGAAGTATGTGATTTGAAGCTCATTATCATTTGTTTGCTCTGCCTTTCCTTTTGTAACAGTACTGATGAATAACAAAATGACCATAAAGCTAATAACGAAGTAATAATTATGCTTATTATTTCACACTTGCATGTAATTTTAAGTTTTATGGTATATTATGGTTTGATTCATTAACTGTGTAGATAGGCTTTTATTATTTGAGAGTTATTATATCAATATAGTAGTGATAGCAAAACATTTTGCTGTTAATAGTATTTATATAATTGTAATCAGTAACAAAACAAAACAATGTGCTAACATACTCTATTAGGTTAGGTTAGAATATGAAGCTTAATATAAACAAGAAAAAATTTAAAACCTGGATCATAGATTATTATAGAAAGTGTTGTAAGTATTTTAAAGATAGTATAATTCATTCTTTTTATTATACAAATGAGAAAAACTAAATCCCAGAGATGTGAGATGAAATCTCATGGTAAACTGCCCATGTCCCAGAATGTCTTCTTGTTCTCACTTGTTTTTGACAACCCATTTCCTGTCCAGAGGGATGGAGAACATGTGGCTGTTGATCTCAGCGCTGCTTGCAGCCCGTTACTAAAGGGCCTGCTCTCGGAATTACGTGGTCAGAGGAAGGGGTCAGCCTGGGTATCATTTGTGTGGGGACTTCGCTACCGAAAGGCTAAAAATCCACCTTAAACTAGCTAAAGCTTCTCTCTCACATGAAAAATGAAGTATTCAGAGAATGTATTGGTTAATGTAAAAGGAAGTACCCAGTGATAGATTTTGAGACGTGAAAGCTTTTGCATGGCTAGATCTAGGGATTCAAAGTTTGTCATTATGACTCAGTCTCTCACTCTCTTCTGGCTCAGCTTTCTTTTCAGTTAGCTTCATTCTCAGACAAGCCCTTTCCCAGGACTTTGGGGTAAAGAAAATACAGAACTAGGAGTTTGAATAAGTGGTAAGGAAGGAAGGTTATGTTAGAGTAGAATATTTTATCTGGGGTTATTCAAAACATGAGAAAGCTCAAATAGGATCTTGTCTACGGATGATAAAGGAAATAACATAAGTTTTTGTGACCCCCCTGAAATGCTCTCGTGTCCTAGAGGCGTCAGAATTTCAAGTGTTCATGATTTTTTATGTGAATTCTGACTGTCAACTGGTACCTGCATATGAACAGGACTTGGAAAAAGTCTGGACCTAGAAAATATTAATAACTGGGAAGTTATGCCTGTTAAGAAGATAAATTTTTAGCAACAAAAAGTCAGAAAACTGGGTTGAGGGCCAGTGTGGTTTACTATGGTTGAGTGTGCAACAAAGCTAGTAGGACCCACAAGACTAAAGGGAGGGGAATCAGACCTGAGATATGGTGTGTACAGCCTAGGAGTGCAGCAGATGCAAGCGCAGAACGCACGACCGTACAAGAACCTCATCATAGAGTTGAGGCTCTCAGTGCTTGGGAAGAGATGCAGGGAACGGCAACAATAGGTAAGAACCTGATAGTAGCAGTCAGTGCTTTTTGAGGTTTGTGATGAAGCATAAGAATTGCTTGGTAGGTTTCTATTTTGCTGCTTTTTGGTCATATTTATGAATTTATTTCTCTTGTTCTCTCTACTTGGGACAGTCTTGCCCCAGATTCCTCCAAGTCTTACTTCCTTATCCTTTCCCCATGTGGGGATCCTTCAGCGTGGGAATTCTGCCGGTTACTGAGCATGTCTGCTCCAAATGTGAATTCCAAAACTGTGCTTACTGTAGGATATGTTTGAGAACCAACTGGTGCTCATTTTTGAGACAGACCTGAGCTAAAACTCCATTGATCACCTGATCTTCATATTTGTTTTATATAATAGATTATAATATTTAAATGATGCTCCATAAAAGCATAATGAACAGCTAGTGTTTGAAGTCATATGTATTACTAGTATGTTTTACACACTAAGGGATTTTTATTATAGTTTATTTTCTTTAACTATGCCCTTTATTTTTGTTATTTTTTATTTGAAGTACCAAGATACGAATATGCAGGGAGTTGTATATGAACTAAACAGCTACATAGAGCAACGGCTGGATACGGGAGGAGACAACCAACTACTCCTCTATGAATTGAGTAGCATCATTAAAATAGGTAAGAAACGTTTTGTATTGCTTTTAGAAAAATCAGACCGAGATTCTTTGGCAAAACCTGGCAAAAACTAATGTACTTACTAAGAGGGCAGATGAAAGTTATTTATTTACTTCTGTTGCTGGACTAAGTTAAATGAAAGTATGTTTTTATGAAACTGCCAGAATGACTCAAACCTAAAAATTCTTGAATTATCTAATCCCAAATAATTGGGATATACTATGCCTTCTAATTAACACCTAGTTTTCTTTGGAAAGCATAGTTTTATTGAATTAAATGACATCTTTGTAAAGGAAATACTTAAATTTTAAGCGACACTAAGCTTTTAAACTTATTTGGGTGGATGACAATTGTATATACCACATAGGAAATGGCTTATATTGTAATTAGAATGGGGAAAGTTATATCAGAAAATTACTTTTTTAGAAGGATGCACTTTTTTCCAGCACATGATTTTTTTTAGAAGGACACCTACTATAGTACTTATATCTTTTGTTTTTTTGTTTGAAAATAAAAATACTCATGATGCAGTAATAGCGATATTTATTACGTACCTAAGTACATGCTAGGCACTTTTCTATGCATATTACAGACCTTAACTCACTTATTTGCATTACAACCTCCTGAGATAGTTTCTGTTATTATCACCATTTTATTGATGAGGAAGCTGTGGAACAGAGAGGTTAAATACCTTAGCCAAGACACAAAGCTATAAAGGAGTTAAGCAGGGGTTCAAATTCAGGCAGTCCCTCCAAGACTCATGCTATTACCTGCTGTGGTAACTTCCTTCAGATGACCTTGAAGCAATTTGAGGTAAGTTAAATTATGTTTATTTCCATGATGATGTGTGGATGTATACATCATCCTTTTTGGTTGATGCTTATTTTGGTTATTCAATATCGTGAATGTCATTTCTGGTATTTTAATATATTATATGGTATATTGACTGCTGTATGTATTTCAGGATGTTATATCTTAAAATTTACAATCACTGATGACAAATATAGGAGATATTCTAGCTATGTTATTGAGTAGAGCCATAAATTATTTTGTTCTATTTACTGCGTGACCATTGATTATGTTACCAAATGGATTCAAAAGACCTCATATCTGGATCTCACTGTAGAGAATTCATATGTGTGATATTCTTCCACTGAGATTAGTTTCTTCCTTTTTCATTACTTTGGCAGCCACAAACGCTGATGGATTTGCACTGTATTTCCTTGGAGAGTGCAATAATGTAAGTACCTAAATTTAGATTTTGGTGCTCTAGATAAGAAAATATCATAAGCTCTTTAAAAAAAAAAAAAGCTTAAGTTACAAACAACTTAACAGACATTTCATAACTAAGTACTTTAATTTAAACTCAATTTGTATTTTGTTTGTATATGCGGTTATTGACAGTCAAGAATTTTACTGATATGTGGACATTTAGGTATAAAATGTTATAATTTCACAATTTAATTATTTAATTTTTTTTGCTTTGGTTTGTGGTATCCTCTATTATGAATGGC